ATACTGGAGACATATGTTAATATTTGAAAACACACCTTGATAGTGGATGAGTGTTGTCTTTACCTACAAATATATGGCAAAATTTGTAGCAAACTAAAAACAGGCCAACATTTAAAATTCAAAAATTCAAGTATGTGCAACCACCGTCTGGAGACCAGAATGGCTCACAACAAAGTATGTCACCAGTACACCAAGGATCTCCGTTTACGATCCAACTCTTTATTAAATGATCACATCACAACAAAGAACAACGAGACTTTGGACCCTTCGCAGGACCCCTTAATCATGCATGATGGAGATCCTTGGTACTTGATGCAGGTATATAAATAAGAGTGTAGGGGGAGGCATGCATAGGTGTAGTGTTGAGAGGCAGGTAAGAGGAGGGGGGATGCATAGGTGGTGGGTGCTGCTAGAAGGGGAACTAAATGCTTGATGGGTGGTGAGAGAAGTTGGAGGAGGTGCACAATGGGTGCTGAGAGAAGGGAGGCTGCAGATGTGGTGAGTAGTGAGAAAAGGGGGTTTTCAAGCACAGTGGGTGCTGAGAGGGTTGTTGCAGCTGTGGTGGGTGATGAGAGAATGGAGGCTACAGGAGAGGCTGGTGGTGAGTGTGGTGTTTTGCATGGCAGGTGCTAAGTGAAGGGGCAATACCGGGGCATTGAGTGGTAAGAAAATGTGCAGTGCATTAGGGGTGGGTGTTGAGATAAGGGGGATGGGGGAGTGGTGGGTGGCGAGAGCATAAGGAGTGTAGGTGCTGTGGGTGCTGCAGAAGGAGATGGCTGCAGCAGTCTGTCACCCCCCCCCCCCCCAGTAGTAGTTGCTAGAGGAAGGAATAGCTTGTGGTTTGCATGCAGCTTAGGTCAGTGAGGGTAGAGGTGAGCCAGGGACAGGCAGAGGCATATGGCTTTCTATGGCTGGGGGTCTTCTGCCAAATCCCCAGGCTAAGTATTGGGGCAGGCTTCTATGTGGAGTAAAGCCAGATGACAGAAGGTAAGGAGTGCTGGTCAGTGGAGGGGAGGAGATTGTTGGGGCAGGTGTTTGTGCTGTCAGGGGCCTGAGGGTCTCATGTGGCCAGTGCAAGGAACTTGAATGCTCAGGAAGTTGGTCGGAGTTTCTAAACACCAGCGGAAAGATTAGTGGAGGAAGTTAAGCGTGTGAGAGAGGAAGGAGCACATTTTAGGTCTGCTCACACATGTTGACTGTCCAGTCGTTTCTGGAGGACAGAGTTCGGCATTATTCCCAGAGAGAAAATGAAAACTGTGGTCAAAAAATAAAACTGTAACTTATGCATTATAATAAGAAGGATGGTGTAGCAATCGTACCCACAGAGATGGACGCGGTTCAACCATTTTGCTCCAATCCTCCATCTTGTAGATCTCTCTCCCCCTCTTTGATCATCCCCCTCCCTCTCTGTTGAGTGACATGTGGTCGGTGTGTGTTTGCAGAGATCACTGCACCAAACTCAGTGGGACGGCGTACTGGCTATAAAACCTCACTAGCTGGGTGCCTCTCTATCTAAGAAACTGTGCAATCTGGGATATCATAAAAGCGTAAACCAAGCCCTTCACTGAGTTGAAAGACATTCCAGAGCAGTAATAAACTAGACACCACAATCAAAATCCATTTTCCCCCTATGATTTAATATCTTGGAATATGAGGGACTTACACAAAAAACAGGCATATCTTCAGATTGGTCACGTTAAGACAAATCGTTTGGTATATTGCATTCCCTAGCTGAGATCAACAGGAAAGCAGAAAATAAAATCTCCTTAATCATCCCAGCAGGTATGTTATATTTCATATGTAGATCTTCAGAAGACGATTCTGCATATTAATCTACCCGTGGGTGGAATGTTACATGTACCTAGGAAAAGTTATGGGCCAAAATATAAGCTATGAGAGTTTCTGGTTATAACTTAGGTCTCCACCTACACCTCCCTCCCCAAAAAAGGCAATTGGTTCTCTGTTGTAAGAAGACACCCTGCTGAGATCCTAGAAAAAGGCTGTTATGCTTGGAGTTGGGTGTGAGAGAAAGAAAAGTCTCCCGTTTAAAATCGAAACTGACAGAGCGAGACAAAAAATCCTTTTCGAGCTCTTAAGACTTGAAACTGCTTAAACCAAGGCTGACTGGCAAGTACTTTAACCCTCTAAACTCCTTTCTGTTATCTCTTCGCTGTGCTATTGTTCTCTGTATATTTATATATATATTGGTTACATCTTTTTTCTGTAAATATTTTTATCGCACCCTTTTGACCTTTTAGTAATAAATCTTACTTTCTGAAAGTGTTGAACTGTTTCTAACGCCTTTAATGCAAACTACGAATTCATGCCGCTGAAGAACGCTACCTGCTTGCGGTGACAGTGGTATACAGACGATTATCTAACCATCATAGTGTTATTGCTGATATTGCCGAGTTTCCTCTTTCTCTGTACAAAAAAGAGGTGGTGGAAGTATGAAGGGTTAATTGCGTAATTAATCTGACCCAGTAACAATCGTGCTCAGGCTGCAAGTACACAGGTTGTGGTCCATTAGCTGGAAAATTGGTGTGCAGGGTGCAGCTGGGCGTGTCATTGTTACGCACGTGACATCACGGTTTTAGTTTGGCTAGTCCTTCTGTTACAAGTTTGGTGAGAAGGGCAGGGGTCTGACGTCGCGATTGTCACAGATGGATGTCATAGTTTGGTTGCTCATATACAGTAGGTTATTTAGGGACCACATTTCACAGAGGTGATTCGGTGTGGCAGTGTGGCTACACATGTATTTGCAAATGTGTACAACATAAACCTCTGTTTTAATGTAAAAATTAGTGATGTTTATTGGCTGGGTTTTTTTTTGGGGGGGGGGGGTACAAATGAGTGATTTAAATGCTGGAAGTTTAACATTGTTCACTATATCAGCTGGACTGTTTAGAAGAGGACTGTATAAAGTTTAGTATCCCAGTAACCCATAGTAGCCAACAAATTGACTTTTCCCTAAATTTACATTGAAGTCTATAACTTCTCTTCTCCATTTTTACCAAATACAATGAAATCTTTAGGGGCCAAAATTAAACATATATATCATCAATGGACAAATCAGCTTGGATTACAATTGATTTCAACTATTAGTCCACATTATTCTGCGGTATGATTAGAGAACTACAGAGGTGACAGGGTGTCCCTTTTTCTGATCAATCTGATTAGTTTTTCCAAGAGCATAAAACATTACTTGAAGACTGTCTTTTTTGTGCACAGGATTCATCAAGCTACTATGACTACAAAGATTTAGACACATAGTATAGTACAGGGTCGGACTGACAACTCATAGGGCCCCCAGGCAATAGGGGATCATGGGGCCCCTGTGTCCTTGCCCAAACTCAAAAAAGCCTATGAAAAAGGTACCAGGGGCATCTCATGGGGGCCCACTTACCCGGGCCCTCGGGCAGTGCCCGAGTTTCCAAATGGTCAGTCCGCCCCTGGTATAGTATCTTGTAGAAGCAAATCACTATATCGGCACAGGGCATAACAATTTGCTACCTACCCACATTGTTTGCAGGAATGGAAGCTTTGAAAGACCCTTACTGTTCTGATGAATTAGTACTAGCTTCATATCTTAGTACTGAACTGTATAGGACTACATTTAAATGTCAGGATAACACTAAAGATTGTGTTTTGCCATCATAGTTAATATCTTAACTGTTCAGTTTATAGGTTTAGTAATCTTCCAAGTAAGGAGATGCACATTTTAGGGTCATGCAATCAACAAGATGTCTGTGTAAATTTGAAAGTGAATAAGATGAACTGTGATTGAAAGTCTTTGGTGCTTTAAATACTGTATTGATACCATTAGGAATAAGCTATTGAGCGCTGTGTAATACATTACAGAAAAAAAAACTCAATCTGTCAAGGGTCTCTAACATCTGAAATCTAAAATATGTACTAATTGAATCTTCTAAAATAGTAATGTCACATGTCACTTCACAAATAAATAGCGATCAATTTTTTTGTGGCTCATAATGAAAAAAAGACTATAAAACTGAGGAGTGTACTTTATTTACAAACAGTTTAATGCGTTCATATATCATTTGTTAACCCATTAACCTGATTGGTTATTGTTACCTTTTTGGAGTACATATACCTACTAAACTTATAAGAGGTGAGTGTTAGTTGTAAAATGGTGGATTACAGAGCAAATACCTTTTGGTGAAGGTCGCGGGTTTAAGTGATGGTTGATAATGTATATATTATATACATAATAAGATATTATATATATATATATATATATATATATATATATATACACTGAATATATTTACTAAAGACAAACATACTGTGCACTGCAAGTGCAGTTGCTCTAGATCTGAGGGGAAGCTCTGCTGATTTCTATCATCCAATCATGTGCGAGCAAAAATGCATTTTTTTTAATTTTCCTTGCATGTGTTTTGGGTATTCTTTGCAAATTGGAACTTTACCTCATTTACTAAGTTCTGGAGCAACTGCACTTGCAGTGCACAGTATATTTGCCTTTAGTAAATCAACCCCATAGCATGTCATTTTTTGTTTGTTGGTGCTCTATGGTAGTCTATAAATACATATCAAATACATGTTTTCACAGATTTCACTGGCAACCACTATCCCTGTATGGATTTGTTAAATGTCTTTTTCTTTAAAAAAATACAGCAGGAATAGTGAGACTCCTTCTTCTGTTGTGGAATTAAAGAAAATTCAACCATCAACTTCGGTTTCAGGATATATAAGAAGACTTGATTAGGCCCACCAGCATCCACCTAAATCAAAATATAGGTTTTGGGTAGATTTACCCTTTAAACTCCAAAGCTGCCAAAGCCATTCAGTAAAACAGTATTACTTCTGTTAAATTAAGACCACTGTAATAGGTATCAGAGATTATACTTCTGTATTTAGCATATACATAAAGTGCATGAAAACAGGCACATGGTGAAAAATGTTGATAAAAAAAATTTTGATTAATGAACTAAAATGTGTACAAAATGGCTTCCAACTTGTTACACACATATGTCAGCCTGATTATTATTGGTAACAACTGGAGAGGGTTTGCTTTTTGCTCCTTCTGTTCCCCCTTTTGAAGTGTCAACAAATAGCAGTCTTGGTGTCAACAAAGACATCAAAATTCTTTTGTACTCCTTTCGAAAGTTTTGATTGAGAAGACCATAGATGACTGCATTGAGGCAGCTGTTAAAGTAGGCCATGAAGTAACTTAATACAAACAGCCATTCTGGAATTTTTGGAGCTACCTGAAAAGGGTTGATGGCCACCGCTAGGCCAATAAAGTTTAACGGTCCCCAACAGACAGCAAAAAGGACAAACACAACAAACATGGTCAAAAAGTTCCGTAGGTCTGTTGGTGTCAGCTTCTGCTTGCAGTCTTGTCTTACTCTGTGCTTGACCTGAATAACTAAAACCCATATCCTCAAGTAGCAGAACGTTACCACGGCCAAAGGCACAATAAAATGCACCACAACCACCGTTATTGTATAAGAAGAACTGACTGTTTGAGCGAAAGTACATGAGAAAATCCTTGGGTCATACTGTAGAGATCCAACAAAAAAGTTTGGCACAATTGCAATAACAGTCAGTATCCATGTCAAACAGAGGTAACAGAATGTGCTTTTCTGGTTATAAAGCTTATCGTACCGCAGGCTATGGCAGATGTAGCAGTATCTATTAATGGCTATGGCTGTAATGTTGAAGACAGAACCGATGACACTTAGTCCCATAAGAAATCCGCTAATTTGGCAATGAATATTACCTAATGTCCACCCATTATGGAAAATAGCTATGAGGATTACTGGATATGGGTACACCGCCACTACAAGGTCCGCAACAGATAAGCTGACGACAAAGATGTTGCCTGGAAATGAAAATAATAAACATGGTTATTATTGAGCACAGTATCACAAAAAATAACAAATGATAATTGAACCATGAAAGATAAAAAATGAAATAATTATATCAAATATTTTTTCATTTGCTTTTTTTTTGTGTGAAGCTACAGGTTCATCCTGCTGAACATATTAAAAAGTCTGTCCCTTCCATTTTCAATACAAATAATGGATTTGTGAGCTTATCAGAGCTGAAATTATAATTAATGCCTTTAATAAATGTTTCAGATTACCACAAAGAATTAAAGACACAATTTTCTCATTTCATATTGTTTTGTGACAATTTTAGCTGTACAGTTCAACAACATATGATACGCTGTGCCCAATTACTGCTGCTGAATCAGGTCTTCACATGATGACAATAGAGCCCAAAGAAGGAGCTTTGAAACATAAGCTGATAAAAAAGCCTTCAGCATAGAGAGAAGACAAGGGTACAGATAGGAAGGCTGTGAATTACATTTAAAAGATGACTTCTGAAAGTCTATCCACATTCAGGCAAAATATTTGGCTGTTTCATTTGTAGTTTGAATGCAGATTTAAAGGTCATTCCAAGTTCAAATATCAGGATAGAAATGCGTAAAGCTAGCTTCACATTTTTGTTATGTGGAAATGCACAAAAAAATTGTGCACGCCCCAGCAAAGCACAAAAATGTGTGTCCCTTTTGCAGGTGTGCGGCAGTGCAATTAATTCTTTTTGGGACTTCAACATACCTTACACATACGTAGCCAAAACACATGGGGGGGTTATTTATTAAAACTGGAGAGTGCAAAATCTGGTGCAGCTGCGCATGGTAGCCAATCAGCTTCTAACTTCAGTTTGTTCAATGAAGCTTTGACAAAAAAACCTGGAAGTTGATTGGTTTATATGCAGAGCTGAACCAGATTTTTTCACTCTCCAGTTTTAGTAAATCAACCCCATGGCAACAAAGTACCATGTATTTTGGTGTGGCATGATTTTTAAAAAGTACCTGCACTTTTTTGGTGCAGTTTTCACATATACGGTAATATATTGAAAATGGTCTGCCCTAAACTTGATGCACCAAATGCACAGAAAATGCACGTGCACCATCTCACCTACATAGGTTTAAACAGAGCTTTAGTAGTGTAGAAGTGTTTTATGAAACTGAAATGATGTTTATTTCCATGCTATTGATTCAATGTTAGTATACTAAACAATAGTTTAAGCCCTCTTTGAAGCTATATATAGGTGCTCTCTGATCTGCCATTGACTGAAATCAAAGGGTACCTACATTACAATATGGCGTGCCTGCCAAAATAGCTGCCCATTGGCCTTTAACCTCAACACTTAAAAGAGTAGTTCGGGACTGTAAACAAAAAACAGTCATACTCACCTATGATCAGATAAGATGCTACATCTGTACCCCACCGTTTTTAGGCTGAGAACTGAGCAAATAAAGACCACTTATCACTCAGTTCTCGGTCTTCAGTAAGCAGAGAGCTGGTGACTGTCAGTCACCTGCTCTCTGTTCTGCCCCTCCAGCTCTTACTGGAGCCCTGGACTGAGCAGAGGGTGGGAGTGGTTGGCTTAGGCTTGCAGCTGCTAGCTGAGGGGCTGAGCCAACTGCAAGTCCAGACATCTGAGTGAATTCTGATATTAAAGCCTGCTGTTGGCTGTATACAGGTCACAGAAGTGCAGAACAAAGTGCCCTCCTGTGATCCCAAGGAGAAATAGGGTCAGAAGAGCTTTGGTCCTACTTCTCCTTTAATACTAAATTTGATGTACTTGTGATCTCATTGGCATTACTGTTATCTCTGTTAGATTACCACAGACCAAGTTTCATACTGCAGACTGTTAGACATTTTTAATTAAGTTTGGTGCAAGAGGCACCCAGATACTGGACCCAGAAAGTAGAGGTTCTTGTCCATGACCACCGGGCCCTATGTGGATGCACCTGCATCACCCTGATGGGCTCTTCCTAAATATGCATGCAAACTATTTATGCTCAGAATGGACAGAAGGTCCACGTCTGGTAATAGCCTTTAATAGTATCATACGTCTTCTTTTATTATTTTGAATAAATACACTGAGAATCCTTTTTTTCTGCAATTTCTATGTTCAGGAAAGTGGTCATTGTGGACATCTAGTCTACTCATTGTAGGTGATCTCTGCTTCCCTTCTTATATTTTCTTGTTATGAATGATATGTGGCAAATTCTTCATTCAATGTATGGATTTTACATGCATTATGTTTCGCCTTTTTGGTCTAAACTAAGACTTATTTTAGACTAAATCAGTATTGAGCAGTCTAAGGTGACAACACTGCTCCTCCAATGATAGCGTACAATGACTGTGTGTTGTCAGTCTAGGACAGAAAGCGTGTTACTGGCAGGATCCAGGTGAAAATAATCTTTCATAAGTATCACTGTACCATTGTGAAAATTATGGGCTGAACATTCAAACTCTTGAGTAATATTATACTGTGTCTTTTATTTACTGTAATACCAGAGTCATGTAATTATTGATGATGGACATAGCAGCTGCTTGGCTGCCTGGGAGGAGGAACAGTGGAGGGGGAGAGAACCAGTTGAGGATATAGAACAAAGTGCATATAAACCTTCAGATACACATATTGGCCTTGATGCATAAGATACGGTGAGTGGCGCCCTCTATGGATGGAGGGAAGGCACTGCAGTATTTAAAGTAGAAGCACTGAAAGAAGGCACTTTTGGGATCAGCATTTTAAGACAAATAGTGGCACTTTATATTGGTCGAACTTTTACTTGATTATGAATTTATTTTTTAGCAAATGGTTACATAGGACACTTATGGGAAAGATATACAAGGATGGACCGTTTTGCACATTAGCCCTGGAATAGTTTATTAACATTGCACTTTATTATTATTGCACTTAATGTCAGCGTTTTATCAATGTAATTCACTTTCGGGACATTAATTTTGGATACTTTATATAAACTGTTCTGATAAAGGGTAATGGTATATGTGTGGAGAAAGCAGTAGTGATAATAAGCGCATCACCATATCTGTTGTACAATTTATATGTGTGATTATTGATGTCTGGCTACCAACATAATCCAATCACAGACTAGTGCTTAGGAGTATGTGGTTACTAAGTCTATGGTCAAAATTTAAATTCATGTGTTCACTTTCACTTTGTATTTCAACTCTTTGTAGCCAACTCCTATTACACGGAATGATCTTGCATTTTGTAAGTTTGCTTTGTGAAGATCCCCACACATTTTTTGGAGAACTCTGTGACATGTATTCATTATTCCCTGTGAGAAGGTACTGCTGTGTCACACATTTCACAGAGTCTGCCTCTGAACTACAGAGGTGCTGAGAGGAGGAGTTTCAGGAGGCGGAGTCAGAACAGCAATCACAGCTTGCAGGCAGGAAGGTACCATGGGATATGTAGTCCTTAGAAATTGAAAGTAAGCAACACAGTAGAAGCTGCAAAGCATGCAGGAAATCCAGGAAGTTGTGAAAAGCAATGGTCAGTAGACAGGCAGCAATCACAACATGAAATACATTTTTTCAACTAAATTTCTATTCGATTGTCAAATATAACTATTATTTGTATTGTTATTACCATGCTGATGTTATAAAATGAAAGTGCATGCTGCGACCATAGATCTCCATTAACAGATTTTACAGATTTTTTTATGCTTCATTAAAGTGTTACTAAACCCACAACAGTCAAATCAGTCTGTATATGCAGTAAAGCATGCTTGTTATACCCACTGTGGAACCTAAGGGGTTAATCCTCCACATTGTGTAAAAGGATGTTTGATCCTGTCTTCTCTTCTTCTTCCACAGTCCCCAATCCATCTAGTAGCTCTAGGAGTCACTCTGCACATATTCAGTTTAGTGTGTATTGCTAGAGAGTTTTTATATTTCTTTGGGAGGGTGCATGTGATCAGCACAAGGCCAATCAGCACTGTCCAGACAGAGGGTTAGGGGTTATGCAGCTTCATAGGATAGTCAGAACAGAATGAAAACTCCTACAGGCTTTAACCAGTGCTAAGCCAGACACTGATAGCAATCACAAGACTGCTATATACTGCTGATGAGAAAAGGTATTTAGCAGTTTTATATTTACTAAAATAATTGCATTTCCATGTTCTGTGTACTGTGGGAAACTGGATATAGTGAATGCAGGGTCCTGGGTTTAGTAACACTTTAAATATTAGATGTTTGCATAAACCAGAGGAATCTTTCTCATAAATACAAACAATGCAATGACTATCAATAATAAATACACTTATAAATAAATTATTACTTAAAAATACATGAGCATTAATCGATCCATAACTTTCTAAATCAAATCTTCCTACCCTGGAGATTGTACTCCTCCACGTGATCCCAGGTTGGATTACATTCCGGAAATGGAGCCTACTATGTTTTTTCCTATAAGCAAAATCTCAGCTGATACCATCATAACGGAAGGCAGCTGTTACTCTCCCCCCCCCCCCATATCATTGTGGGTTTTTACCATGAACAACATCATGCACATGGAGGAAAGCTGGTGTTGGACAATGATACCTTTGAGAAATTTAACATGTTATGGTACATTTAGATCCATTTCTCTTCCTCTAATGAGCTTAAGGAGATTCTATTACCTGAAAGTGGTTCAATGGAAGTGTAGTCTCCATCCTCCATTGGGATGGAATAGAGATTCCTTAGACAATATATCCAGCTTACTCCGACAGTTGACTCCAGTGTCACCCTCTGTGCGGTGATATCATTTTCTTTATTATTATTATTTTGGTCCTCAAGATTTGCCTCTGTCCTGATCTCCTTTTCTTTTACTTTCTACCCTTCTTATTCAACCACCATGTTCTTCTTTTTTTTCCCCTTCTTTTTCTTACTTCGTTCCCCTCTTAATGTTTAATGGTGCCACAGAGCCCCCTGTTATTACTGTTATGGGGATTTACTTATTCTCTCACATATTGCTTATTTGTTAATATATTTGTGTTGCATAAGTTTTACCAGTTGATTCTCTACTCTTGATTGAGTAATATGTTAACTATGATTGGGCCTTCTATTCATGGTCCTTTAC